CCCCAAAACCCCAAAACCCCAAAACCCCAAAACCCCTTTGAAATTTCTTCTTGCTGAACTAAACCAAAAATAAATTTTAATTTTATCAAAAATGTCTGCTGAACATATTGCTAAGGGTGCTCACCAAAAGTTGGAAACTGTCATGGAGGACTCCAAGGAGGCCTTAGATGAAGGAGGTAATTTACAACCAGCTTTTATTGAGATAATGGGCATTTTTACAAATTCTGATTGGGTATAGGTAGCAAATAAGTCATGTTTCATATCACCAGGACGGCGGAATTCAATGACTGAGATACCAATAGAGGAGCTCATTCCTTGATCAGGCTCCGGTGAGGATAATGAGGAGTTAAGGTCAATAAGTAGGGCTGAAGATGAACTTGAAGGCAAAATTGAGTTCAGCTTGTCAGATATTGACCCAGACAGCTCCTCTGGAAACCAAGAAGATAGACCAAATAATTTTGATAGCTCACGGCAGAGTAGGAGTATGTCTTACACAAGGATTTCTATAAATTCTGAAAAATTAGAGAGCACATGGGAAGCAAGAGCCAGTGATAACATTCTCTCTATATCGAACAATTATAGAAATAAGTCTCTGATTAATAAGAAGGAAGCCTTTAACTACTGCATGGAAGAATTAGATGACTCTGTTGAAGACCTTGAGAACTCTATTCTTAGTAAGGCCAAAAATTCTCTCGAAAGCTTAAAATCATCTGGACCGAAGGAGAAAAATGCATTGGGACAAAGTAATTATAGAGGATCTTCCCTCGATTGGAAAGCCAATTTGGAAAGCTCTTTTGCTAATAGCGTAGAGACAGAAACAAAAGATGAAAATTCAAAACTCTCAAAGCCCGTTATATGTGCTACTTGTGAGCAGAAAGACACCGATCTATGTATCTTGAAAGTAATGAATGATGATCTTGTTGCTAAAAATTCCAGCTTGACAAACCAATGTCATGATCTTCAAGAGATTATTACTCAATTACTAGAAGACACAGAGAAACTGAAGAGCTTCATTCAAGATAACTTTAGTAGCAAAAGTACTCAGACAGACTTAGTGAATGAAAATGATTTTGTTCAGCAGCTCCAGCGTGAAATCCGAGAGTATCAAAGCCAGAACAGAATCCTAACTACCAAAGAGGGCTCCTATTTATGTATCTATGCTAAATAACTTTTTTAGGCGATATCCAGAACTTAAAGCAAGAAATTGCTTGTCTTGAGGAGAAAGGAAAGCAAAATTTATCAGAATTTCAGCAAAAATTTTACATCTGTAAAACAGCTGCTCAAAAACAGATTAAATCTCTCCAAGAACAAAATCAAAAACAAGAAGAAATTATTGCTAAAATGGTAAAAGATAGACAAGATTCTATCTCAAAGGGTAGAAACTTGGTCCAAAGTTTCAAAAATATCAAACATAAAGCTGCCAAGAAGAAGTTCAAGAGTTCAGGAAGCAGTAAACCAACTCCAAAATTCTATAAGAGTGCTATTAATTTTGATGTTCAATATATTAATACATCTAAGAAAGAGCTGGAGGCTCCCAAGGAAGTCAAGCTTCAAACTCCTGGTATAATAAATGGCTCAAAGATCTCACCTGAGAAGGCCATCTTCTCTAATCTACTACAAGGCCAGACTCATTCATGTGATGAAAGCAAAACAGGAGCTCCTAGGGGAGCTCCTGCTTGCTTGAACCCACATGTATGATCAGAGACAAAGTTCAGCACAATTGAAGATATGTCGATAAATCCTGATGAAATAGAAGACATTAAACCAACAGGTATGTCACTGTTTTGTGATAATGCCTAGCAGCCAAATACTCCTCTATAATCAGAGAAATCAGGTATGAACAAGAGCAAGGGGATCTTTCCCAGGAATATAGCCCACCGTACAGGAGGACTTCTAGTAGGAAGAGGGAACAGCATCTTTATGGGAGGAGTAGGGACACAGGAAGCTTAATGGATGATTACCACATTCACAACCACAATACGAATTTTCAGGTAAATCTGAAAGAGAAATTATTGACAATTGCTGATAAGGATAAAGGACTGAATGATAAATCTAGCATTGATATTCCTCATAGTCAGAGTTCGGTTTCTAAAGAAGATACTAGGACATTCCCTGATAAAGTAGGTCAGAATAAAAATACAAATTTGAAGAAGTCTGATAAAATTGAAGATTATACAACCCAGAAGACTAAGAATCGTAAAAATAAAGCTGAGAAAGGAAGAGCTAAAGCAAGATCACAGAAACCTATGACTAAACCCCATAAAGCTTTAGACAAAAAGGAGGCTAAAAATCAGCAGGACAATTCTGCATTAGCAAGACTGAAAAATATTAGAAAAACGGTTCTTCTGCAAAAGGTGCTTCCAAGGAGTTCTAAAAGAGGATCTAAGGTTGGTTCTAGTGATAAGAACCCTGATCAGTCTTCGCAGTATCATGATTCTGATAATCTAAGGGCTAATAAAGCCAGGGAGAGGCCACTACGGTCTTCTAAGTTCTCAACAGTGGATCATAAATTCAAGAATTCTGAACAGCAAAATCTCAAGAAAACATACCATACAATTTCAAACCCAATTTTTTCAAAAATTTCAACTTCGATCCCAGTTCGTTCTAAGTAAGCATCTGTAATTAAACTTTAGCTCACTCAAATTCAGGTATCCAAAAAATGACCAGTCCCTAATAGTCCATTAGAGCTCAAATGATAGCTCTAAAGAGCTCTAAGATGCCTTTAAAGTAGAAATATAGCCCAATACTTCCTTAAGTGGGAGCCTAATAGTGCAATTTTAAGGTCAATAATTTTTCAATTTTTACAATAGGAATTGGGGTTTTGGGGTTTTGGGGTTTTGGGGTTTTGGGG